TAGCTCGGACCCTCCCTTTATATACTGGGACTTCCAGGGCACAGGAGAGAAGAGAAAAGAGAATGGAAGAACTAGATGGGAAAAACTTGAGAGGAACAAACTGAGATAGGGAAGGACTTGATTGAAGGGCTAGAAGAGAGGACAAGAGGAACGAGATGGAAGATGAGGAAGAGCCAGATGGGGAAGAACAAGATGAGGAAGAGCCAGACGAGAGAGAAGGAGACGGGAGAGGAGCTGATAGGGGAAAGAACTAGATAGATGAGAACCTAGAAGGGACAGAACTAGATGAAGGAATTAAGATAGAACCTAGAGGGGACAGTAAACAAATATAGAGAAATCAGGCAAGGGAGGAGCTAAGCATGAGAGCAGAATAGAAGCTGTGTAGAGAGAGAATTATCACAGAATAATCAAGTGTATGAACTAAGGAGTTTCGTGTACATAGATTCATTTCTTCTCATCAAAGAGTAATTATCAGGTGGTGGTATATTCTTCCCGGGCCCTGGGAGGGGACTATCAAGGGGCTGGACTCCTAGAGTCCTTGATAGGCTTTATCTTGCAGAGGTGAATGATGGAGGCAGAATGGTTGAGCTGTCTCAACAGCCCTGAGCTTGCAAAAGCTGAATCTATAGCAAGACACAACCACACACCTCTGTACCTAAATTAAACCCCAAATTTCAGTGGTCATAGATGGCTGCAGCAGGGACATGTCCCTGAGGCACCTGGCCCAGGCTAGATCCAGCAAGCTATTCCTCTTTGCAGAGACAGTTTTCTCTATGTCCCATCACCTGACTGTGTTCCACAGAGCCAGTAGCAACTAGATTCTCTGCAGCAAGACTGACATTTGGTCTCTCAGTGCCTTCTCCTCCAAGAGCTAGCCAGGATAACCTGCTGCACCGTCAAAGTGTCCTTTAGCAGAAAGGCTTCTTTGGCAAGTCCTGTAATCTGGAGGGGCCAGGGGTTTCATGAGTGGCCATCCTGAGCCAGGATGCAACCAGGGACCTCTTCACTAAAGCTTGGTACTGGGTACCAGATTCAGGACAGGAGATGACCCAACTCAGAACTTGTGTTTGAATACCCCAGGTGCTGAAAATGTTCCTCATTTAAATGTTTGGGAAGGTAAGAATTCAAACAATTATTTTGTTACCCTTGACAGGATAACAGATCATGTTTTGATGTTC